GACTTTATTTTTCTTGAGTTTTTTTTCATCTATGTTTTCTTTCACAATATGACTATTACGGAAATGTTTTGCATGACTACACATATATAACCTATATCGAATTGCTTGCCTTCTCAATGAAGGCGGTGGGGAGGGAAGAAAGGAGAGAATCTGGAACTCAAAGTTTTAAAAATGAATGTCAAAAATTGTTTTTACATGTAACTGAGGAAAAATAAAATTTTAAACCAAAAAATTTAAAAATTAAAAAAAAAAAGAAGCCATGTCTATTCCATGGAGGCAGGGGGTAGAGGCTGGAAAGACCCAGACTACAACTATTGGGAAGAAGGAAATGGGCTTCAAGGACAGAATAGAAAGGGGATCTGGGTTTATTCAGAAGGGGCTGAGGATGGTGGGGAAGCATCCAAGGAAGGAAAAAAGGGGGCACTGGTCCAAAGGCTGGGGATAAAGACTCCTCATATCACCTCCTCCACTGGATCCTCCATTGCCAACTGGAATATTGATTTGACAGTGCCAGAGGAAAATTCCTCTCAGGCACACTAGACCTTGGTGTTAAGCAGTTCTTCAAGTAAAGGGAGTTAAAGAGGGGGGGGGGAGGTTAACAAGAACAAACTCTTAAGAAATAAAGGGAGAAGGGGAAAATGGAGAGCTTATAATCCTATGTGATTCTGTATCAGACTACTAGGAATTTATCTTCTTTGTCATTATATTAACATCTTGACATTAAACCACTCCGGGCTTGATTATAAATGTTTGCTTTTTGGGTTTTCTTGGAGGCTGGGTCTCCCTATCTCACTTAAGCTGAAAGTATTAGGGTGACTCATGGGCCATTCCTACCACTGACTGGCAAAGGAGTTTTGACCTACTCTGTTTCTGACTCCCAGGGGCTTAGCATATTGGCGAAGGCCTTAGTGTAGACATCCAATTGGCTTTAGACAACTGAAACTCAGAACTCCTGAGCTCAAGCAATTCACCAGCCTCACTCTTCAACAGATAGGATTATAGGTATGTGCCACCATACTTGATGATTATCACTGTAAACAGGGGAAGAGATAAAGCCTACTCACTAGAGCTTTATCATAGTATGGAAGGGACCCTAGGTTTTTGAAAACTAATCCAGCAAAGCGCCCAGCTAGAAATGCTCTGAGTACAAGTCCCAGCAACAAACTGTATCTGCCATCATAGGTCCAGCCCATTTATATGCAGATCAGCTCAACAACATAAGATTGACCACTGAAGGATGAATTTTTGGCCATGGTAACCTATGAAATAGTGAAAAACTCTAAATGTCCTTCTGTTCAGAGCAATCCCCTTTATACTTCTGCAGAGACAATGGTGGAGTGATGGAAAAGGGGGCATAGCATGCTAAGAAGTGCAGTTTTATAACCATCTGACAATGTTAATTCAACTCCAAATGAGAGATCTTCAATAAGCAAGAAAATGATACACTACTGCCCCCTACAGGGAAGGCAAGCACACACAGGTGAAGCAGCAAATACCCTCAGGAAGACATAGGAAGCAGTAGGTGCCAGGCTGATGAAACTATCATCAGCCCTGAGACCCCAATGGACAGAGGAGGAGGGAAGGGATAAGCATTTCTATAATGTCTATTATAAGTGCTTAACAAATATCATGTCATTTGATCCACACAACAACCTTGAGAGGCAGGTGATGTTATTATCCCCATTTTATAGTTGAAGAAACTGAGGCAAACAGAGGTTATGTTACTTGTCCAGGATCACACAGCTATTAAGTGTCTGAGGCCAGATTGGAAGTCAGGTCTTCCTGACTCCAGGTCCAGAGCTCTATTTGCTGTGCCACCTCAATGCCAGAGAGTACAACCCAAGTGCTCTGGGGATAGCAGTGCTCCATGAACTGATCCTGCTTCCAGCCCAGACCCTGGCAGTCATCGCTGATGAGGACAATCACTGTGGAAAAGGCACCCAACTTCCTCACCACCACCAACAGCAAAAGCTCACCAACTGCTACCGACAAGCAAGAATGCGCCAGAGCACTGGGAAAGGCATCATCCCCCCAGACCATCAGTCCTGCTTCTGGCCCAACCCTTGTTAAGACACCATCCAGGAAATATGGCCCAACAACTGCTTCAGTGGGTGTTCTGTAGCTATAGCTTGTGAATACGACCCACCCACCCCCAACCCAGCTCCTGCTACCAAAGTCTTTGGTGTTGTCAGATGGTTCAACAACAGAAATGGCTGTGTTTATCAGTGGAAATGACATTCAGGAAGATGCTCTCCCATCTCCTTTGCTACTGTGCCCTAAGGATCATGGCACCATCCCATCTGACCTGAAGAGCTGAAATCTCTATGCATTGTCTCCCCCTATAAGAATGTCAGCCCTTGAAAACAGAGACTATCTTTCCTATTGGTATCCCCAGTGCTTACCACAGTGCTTTGCAAGCAGCAAGCACTTACTCAATGCCTTTTTATTTCTTCATTTATACCCAAGGAGGTGAAGTACATCCATAGTGACCATCTATGCATGAAATAAGAAGACATTTTAAAAGTTGCAGCTAAATGGAAAGTAAGCTTATGACTTCTTATAGATGAGAATAAGGAATTGACTTCATCATGTATGAGTATGAGGACTACCAGAAATAACACTTCACAGGACGCCTGGTGAACAGACCTTGTAATTCTCATGATCACTATCGGTACTGTGATGCAATGAAAAGTGCTAAACCTACTTAGGGTCAAAACAGACCTGGAGTATAATTCAATCTCTGACACTTACCAGTTGTATGACTGAGGGCAAGTTTTCATGAGCCTCTGTTTGTACATCTCTAGAATGAGAATAATAATACTCATAGTACCAACCTTAGTTATTATGAATGTCAAATGAGTTAATTCGTGTATTTAATGTAGTACTTAGAGTTTATTCAGTCGTGTCTGACTCTTCATGACCTCATTTGGGGTTTTCTTGGCAAAGGAGTGGTTTGACATGTCTTTCCCCAGCTCGTTTTACAGATGAGGAAACTGAGGCAAAAAAGGTTAAGTGATTTGCCCTGAGTCACACAGCTAGAAAGTGTCTGAAGCTGGATTGGAATTCAGGCCTTTCTTTCTGCAGGCCTGACACTTTATCCACTCTGCCAGCTAGCTGCTCTATACTAAAAAGCATACTACTTTAATAACAGACTTTGATTTAATATTCAGACTATTAAAAAGTGAAGACTCAATTATTTAAACAAAGCTATTGCTTAAGACTACAGCAAAAAATCTGTATTTCTCCATGACTAAAATTCACAACAGCAAAGAGAAATCTATCAACAGAGCTCTGGGTGCATTCTAATTCTGGTGGCAAATTATTCATCTTTTTATTCACTACAGTAAATCTGAGTTGAAAAAACATAAGAAAACACAACAGAAGAAAATCTAATTATTTCCTGAAGAGAAGAAATAAAAGAAGATGGTTATGATGTAAGGAGACTAAGAGAAACTCAATGCTGTCTGGAACTTCATTTGGCCATCCCTTGGATTGAGTTGGCTTTTTTATTTGCCAGCTTTTTATTAGAGATAGAATTGTTTGTAAACCATATTGGAGATGAATAGCAATCCGAGCCAGGCACTGTAGCCAAAAATTATTTTGATAAGAAAGAAAGAAAAAAATCCAACAACAAATGATGTTAACTATTTGTCCCCTCTATGATTTTCTAACAAAAATCATTTATAACAGGCACATAATTGGCAGAAGATATAGCTGGGAATTATGAGAACACTTTACATTTCACATGAGGAATAAAACTGTTTGCTCTGTAACAACAGAGCAATTATTTATTTATTTTTAATATTTGACTCTTGGGCAAAGCCTTACAACAGCATGGGGTGATTAGGTGATTTTGCAATGTAATGCTTTTCTATTTCTCCTCAAGTTCTAAAGGCTGCATCTAGCTTGTACTGTTTTCAGAGCTTTAAGACTCTCAACAACCATTGTCTAAAAATCACATTTTCATGTTCCCAGAGATTCTAGAAAGGGATGTAAAAACATGTATCAGATATTTATTTCATTTTCATTTCCTACATAAATACTTTTCTTAAATATTAATTTAGACCACACGCCCTCATACTATTTATTTATCTGGAAATCTGGGGTGTGGGAGTGGAGAATGGATATAGTGTAAAAACATATGACAACCTTTAGACATTGTTAATAACAACTTAAGGTCAGCTAGGTGGTGCAGTGGATAGAGTGTCAGGCCTGGAGTCAAGAAGACTTGAATTCCAATCCAGACTCAGACACTTACTAGCTTTGTGACCCTTGGTAAGTCACTTAACCCTCTTTGCCTCAGTTTCGTAATCTGTAAAATGATCTGCAGAAGGAAATGGCAAAACATTCCAATATCTTTGCCAAGAAAACCCCAAATGGGGTCACAAAGAGCCAGACAGGACTGAAATGACTGAACAACAACAAAAAACACCAATTTGTATGTACTTACATAAGAGACAGCACGGCAAAGGAGACATAAAGTTGGCCTTGGAGGCACTAAGATCTGGGTTCAAATCCCACCTTTAAGTATGCTAGCTGTTTGACCCTGAGCAACCTTTGCTCAGCTTCTCGGTGCTCTAGGCTCCCCCAAATTGTAAGCTATATGCAGAGGTGCTAACCTTCAATGGTGGAGGGAGTTTCCTCATCCTAGAACTCTCTATACCAAAGAAATCACTGATAAAGGCTCTCTTCTTATCTATTTACTTTGCTTTATGAGTATGATTTAATACACAGAATTTCATTAAGAGGGAGCAAAACTTTAAATTTAAAATTAGGTTAAAATTGAAAAACTGACATTGAAATTAAAAATAATTTAAATTTAATACTTTAAATAGCAAACCACACACATATTTTAACCCACCCCTCCAAAACTGTATCAAAGACAAAAAAAAACTGGCGCCCCAGAAACACTGTGATTTAGTCTGTGCCCTCATGACAATATCAACACCGTAATCAGAAGCCAAGAATTCTAGGCTTATTATATTAAAGGCTCCACTTGCCTGCATAGGTGTTGGCCTTGTTCAGAAGCTCAGTGCATGCATGCATATCTGCGAATGCCCGGATTCCTAAACAGTTGATTGGATGAAGCTGGGATTCCAAAAAATCACAGCAAGTCCTTTTCACATCCTGTAATTGTAACAGACCAGCTGCTGGAAGAAGTACCTGAACACACAGACAAAAATTACTTTTGGTTAGGAAAAAAAAAATAATCTATGTATTTTTCCCCTAGAAAAATCCAGTTGTTGGGTTCAATTTTCTCATGGATGGCTGAACCATTTCTTTATGACCTGCCTGAAATCCTGAGCATTCATGGGGGAGAAAATGTAAAACTGACTTGGAAATATCTGGTTGCCTTCCTCTCACGATAGCTAATCTTATGTCTGGTCATGGAGGCCTTTTTCCAGATCTCATCTTTACTTAGTCCTTAAAGATGACTGACCTCGAAGGCCCGTGCTAGCTCTGAGTCCATAAGAAATACCATCCTGGATTAGATCATGCCCCTCTAGCTCAGCATCCTAAATGAAGTCAAACAAGATCTGAAATTTTAACTGCTTTTCTTAAGGCATATGGATCTGAATTGAAAGGATGAAAATTAAAAAGTCTCTAGATTATGAAACATATTGCAGCGTTTTCCAAAATTAAATTAAACATATGGAAGAATGAGGGCAGCTGGGTGGCCCAGTGGATAGTAGGACAAGCCTAGAGTCAGGAAAACTCATTCTCCTGAGTTCAAATTTGGACTCAGACACTTACAATCTGTGTGATCATGGGCAAGTCACTTAACCGTGTTTCCCTCAGTTTCCTTATCTGTAAAATGAGTTGAAGAAGGAAATGGCAAACCACTCCAGCATTTTGGCTAAGAAAACCCCAAGTGGTTTCTGAAAGAGTTGGACTCCTCATTTAGGATAGAAACTACACCTGTGATTTCACTGATACTGATCAACAACAAAAATGGAAGGATGAAGCCAAGCAGGTTAGAATTGTAAATATTTCTAAAAAATTAGGGCTTTTAAATTAGAGGTAACCTGAGAATGAGTAATTTTATATCCCAAAATACAGAATCTAAAGTAATGTAACAATATTCTTGGAGCAGTGTGGAATAGCGCATAGGACACTGGACTTGGAGTCATTAAGATTTAGGTTCAAATTCTACCTCAGAAGCTAAGCAGCAGTGTGACCCCAGGCAAGTAACTTAAGCTCACAATCCCTTTCAGTTCGAAAAGTCCACGATCTTAGGAACCTGGGAACTCTGACAAGTCAGTGGCAGGAAACAAATTTGCTTCTAGGCTAAGTCATTTAGTATAGATCATATTTTTAAAAACAAAATGAAAAGGAAAGCTTTGTGAAATAACAAATTGTTATTGAACATCTGGTGTTGTCTTTCAAAAAAAATTCTCCAAAGCAATGAGAAAGAACAATGTCAATTTCAGAATTTTAGATTACATTAACATGAAAAGAACAACAAATCCCATTAGGTTCTTTCGTGAACTGAAGCTCATCTATGCCAAGCTGCAACCCACAAACAATATTTAAAGTAAAAAAACAGTAGTTTTATGTTTATATACACAAAGGATTCCCAAAAGTCTTAGTGCCATTTCAAGCTTTAAGAGCTTAAAATTTCACTACGACTTTTGGAACACATAGATATTCATGTACATGTGTATGTACACACGTGTTTGTATATGTACATATATTTTTCCTCCAAATCTATATGATAGTCTAAATTCAGTAATGAGGTAATCCACTTCCTATAATATTTGTGCTTTTAGAGATGCAAGAAGGCATCTTGTCTTGCTTCTTGGGGGAGGTATGGCACTATCAGAGTGGAATACTACATATAATGTCAGGTTTTTTTCTTTCAAAATAATAGTTTTGCTGAACTACTTCCCTACTCCACCCCCACTCCTGCTTCATTTTTGTTCTTTGTTATCCAAGATGATTCTCTGGGAGGGAAATGAGAAAAGGGATATATTGGGAAACATAAATGATACAAAAACAAAAGGCAGCAATAAAATTTTATTTTATTGTTTAAAAAATTACACTTCTTGGCATTTCCCAAACATTCTCTGAAAGTCTACGAATAGAAACTAATTCTGGATGACAGGAACAAAGTATTGATCCATGGTCCAGGATCAGGGAGTAATGATTACAACTAAGGGCAAGAGGAAAGTTTCCAGCTACAAGCTGGAACCCCATCCATAGCTTTAAACCATTGCAATAGGCTTACATATGTTTATTGTCGAATTAGAGTTGGATAGAGGCCATATATCCCAATCTCCTCATTTAGGATAGGGACTACACCTGTGATTTCATTGATACTCCCTTTAGGTGGTTCAGTGGATACAGCTCTGAACCTGGAGTCAGGAAAACCTGAGTTCTAATTTACAAGCTGTGAGACCCTAGACAAGTCACCTAATGTGTTTGCCTCAGTTTCCTCATCCATAAAATGGGGACAATATGGTTTTAAGCACCTACCCCAGAGTTGTTGTGAGGAACAAATGACATAAATCGATTAGCACAGTGTTTGGCACATAGTAGGTGTTATATTAAAATGTTGTTATTATTATTGTTATAAAATGGGGATAATAATAGCACCTACCTCCCAGACTTGTTGTGAGGAACAAATGAGATAATAGTTTTAAAGTGCGTGGAACATAGTAGGCACTTAATAAATGCTTGTTTCCTTCCTTTACCAATGCAGGGTGGCATCAACTCTGCAACTTATAGGCATAGAACTGCCCAGGGCACTGAGAAGTTAAATAAGCTGCCAGGGTCACAGGCCCAGTATGATCAAAGTTGAAACATGAACACAGATATTCCCAGCTTCCAGTCCCGCATCCTCCCTACTCAGCCATCAGGCCACAGTGATCTAACCAAAGTCAAACAACTAATTAAGGGAGATGGGGTAAAGGAAGGAAACTCCTAGGACGCTGGTCTCTCTCTCTTTTTTTTTTAAATCATTTTTTGGGGGGTGAGGCAATCGGAGTTAAGTGACTTGCCCAGGGTCACATAGCTAGTAAGTGTCAAGTGTCCGAGGCTAGATTTGAACTTAGGTCCTCCTGACTCCAAGGCTGGAGCTCAATGTACTATGCCACCTAGCTGCCCCATTTTTTTAAAAAAATCATTTGGATGCTGGTCTCTTGACTCTAGTTACTAATTCTACTACACCACTTTAAAAATTAAAAAAGAAAAAGGAAAAGAAAATAGAACACTTTTTTAACAAGTTTCCAAGGAAAAGGCATAACAGAAGCAGAAACTATTATAATTATTACAGTCAAACCATTTTGTAATGTGTAAAACTTGCTTCGTTATGTCATGAAAAGGAATGTTGGCGGAAGGATATAATTAGTTGATTATTTTCAAATTGTAGGTTTTTTTTCTATGGCTTAATTGCGCACTGAAGCAGCTGTAAAGTAAATTCCAAGGTGCATAATAGTGTAGACATTTAATTCAGCAGGTTCATAAGCCTCAAACTCATGAAAGTGGCCCTCAAGGCATCATTCCAGCCCCATGCAATTACACAAATGAGAATCATTTTCAGTCTAATCAAGAGGCGGATATTTAGTTAGAGGCAGTAGAGTTGAGTACACACATAGTCCCAGCCTTACGTACCCTAGATTCCTCTCACAGTCAGAGAATACATGGGATTCTCCAGGCCTCTCTTGACTATCTATCTCTTCCCTGTATACTCTGGGGATAGCCATCCCTCTCTCTTTCTACTACTCATCACCTCCAGCCCCATCTCCAAGGCCCCTGCTTCTCAGAGACAGGAGGGCCCAGTCTGTAGAGACAAAAGGGTAGAGAATGGGGCTGCTATGTGCTGGTCCTGGCTCAGGACCCAGCTGCCACTCCTTACCACTTTCCCCTTTACCGACTGTCAACTGTAAAAGAGAAGGAGAATCTCCTGCTTCAGAAGCTTCAGTGGTTCCCCACTGCTTCAAGGATAAAACAAACTCTGAAGCTTGGTATTTAAAATGCCCTTCATAATCTGGCTCTGGTCTATCTTTCCAACCAAAATGACTTTTATGTGACTGCCTACCTACCTGCTTGCCCCGTATATGATGTTCCACATACAGCCTCCATGTTCATACCTAGAATACCCTTTCTCCTCCAGAGCAATCTCTTGAAATCTGTAATTCCCTACTACATTTGGCTCAAGTATCACCTATCTTGGGCCTTTCCTGATCCCTATTTTCCCATCAAAATATTTTTCTAATATGGTCATTAATTTCCACAGTAATACATTTCAAGGAGCTCACAGAATTGAAAGCCAGAAGAGATCTGGAGAAGATCTAGCCATTTTACAGATGAAAAAAGCGAGGCCAAGGGAAGTAGAGTGCCTTGGTCCAAGGTCATATATGTATAGTCAAGCAAAACAAATTACCTCATTAACCATGTCCTCCCCCACCCCAAAAGAGTCAACTGTACTCTGAGTCCATTACTTTTCTAATGGGAAGAAATATAGGCACTGTTAATGACAGTCTGCTCATTCAATAGGTAAGGGGCTCATTTCAAATCTCTAATCTGCTCAAGGGAGCAGATGGTCATTTCAGTACAAGAGAATAAATGTGGGTCCTGTGATTCATGGGATACATTAAAGTATTATATTAAGTATTTTAATCTTTAAGGCACATAACATATATCTGTATACCAAAGAGATGGGCAGAAGAAGCCTCATGGGCACTTGAAGAAGAGGCCACTGAGTTCAATTCTGGGAGGATTTGAGCATCAGTGAATGTGGTCAGTCATAAGTTACACAGCCAAGGACTCTTTATAGTACAGAGTAATAATCATAATACAAAGTGCTTTTTTCCCCCACAGCAACCCAAGGAAGTAGGCAGTGTGAGAGTCAACACGCTCATTTTATAGTTGAGGAAAGTGGGGCTCTGGTCACATAGTCATTAAGTGTCAGAACCAGGATTCGACTGACAGTTTCCTTAATCCAAGCCCAAACCTTTAAAGAGATGTCTACATTACACTGGTCTACAATTATGGTTCCAGACAACAGTAGAAAGGTGGGGAACTGACTAATATGGAAACAATGTTTTACATGACTTCACACGTACAATCAATATCATACTGCTTGACTTCTCAATGGATGTGGGAGAGGTTGGATGGAGGGAGAGTTTGGAACCCAAAACTTTTAAAACAATGTTAAAATA